ATTTTATTAAATCAATATCTCAAATTTACATTTCGTTCACAACTCATTCAAAAATTCATCAATAATCTTAAAATTAATCAACCACATACATACATGCACAAATTCTATCACATTAAAACTAGAAAATATTTTAAAATAAGAACATTTTAGTGGAAATTAGATAAGGACATTCCTAAGAGATAAATTAAAATATTAGAGCTTAAAAGTCTTATGAATATAAATTACAAAAATTATACTCTCAAAAAGCTTAGACAATTTTTTTCCAAAACTATTTTATCTATTAATTTTTTGCAACTTTTTTGCACAAACTCCTCGTAGATTTGATAAAATTCATGAATCCAAAAATTCATAAATTTTAATGTAAATTTTTTTAGTTGTATAAAGGTATATAACTTCAGCAGAAATTATACAATATCACAATAATAAAAATATATAAGTTCTAATGAATATGTAAATTATAACCTTGCAATAAAACTTCCTACAATTTGCAACAGCTTTAACCCTTTCTACTCGGCTGCCGCCATCTAAATCTCGATATTAGCGAGTGGAAAGGGTTAAATATTTTTGAGATCATTTGTCATCTATTTGATGTACAAATAATTTTTTATCAAGTTCCAAATAAATTGATAAAAGAATTTGACTGAATCGAAATCACGTCTGTTAAACTCAGGAGTTAAAATTGCAAATACAAAGGTAATTTATTAAGAGCCAATTCTCAGATAAAATAAGTACGTTACGGGTCTATCTTCGTATGAGTTGGTGGTAACAAACTGTCAAAAAACTATGTATTTGTTGTGCACTCCGGTTTTGCACATAAAACTTAACTTCGCGCATATGTTATCAAAGAGACATCACAAAGATGCACTTATGTTGAAATTGCTATTTGATGTTCGTGCGTTTTGGAGGTTAGGTTTTGTGTGTAAAACGCCTGATCGCACAGCAAAAAGTTTGACAGTTTTACGACCCCTAACATAATTTCATTTTATACGAAAATTGGCCACACAAAATCACAAAATTATGCACAATTTTCCAATACTTTGTTATTTTCTACCATTAAAATATTATTTACTGCTATTTATTTTTTCTAGTACTACAATTTACTCCGTTTTCCGCAAATGGCATTTTTGAAAAACAAAATATATATGTATTTTTCTTATAAGTATAAAACTATTTATTTTGATCAATATATATTTTTGGCATTATTTTTGATATTTGCGATTGATAATTATTGTATCATATGTTTGTATTACAGTTTTGGGAGAGAGGAAAAAATTTTAGAAATTTTTGATATTATATTTGGAAAATAGTTTTTATTTTGAAGTAAGGGATAGTCGTTATAAAAGCTAAGCTGATACTGATTTTGACATAGGGTTAAAGGAGGAAAAGACAAAATGTTTGTTCGAACAAGTTCAAGCTAAATTACACTGATTTTGACATAGGGTTAAAAGAGGAAAAGTCAAAGTATGTTTGTTTGAACAAGATTCCGTTATTGCATTAAATCAGTGCCTAAGCCTACATTAACTTGATCTGTAGTATTTTTGTTGAATTTTTTCAATAATAACTGTCCCAAAACCTTTCCAAGCAAAAAATCGATATATTTCTTCTTTATAAAATCTTTCATGAAAATAATGTGCATATTCCCCTAACGTCACATATACTATCTCATATAAAAAATCATATTCAGCAGAGCAATTACTGCTACAAAAATTAAAAATAATATGAAAAATTCCATTTCGAGCTAATTTGTTCATATATAATTTAATGTACTTTATACTTTTTGTATTAGCTAAGAAATCTAAATTTTTATGTAGGTACGCAATTTATATTTAAGCTCTGTTGAAATTTGTTTTTGCCGAAAAGCTAATTTGTATATTTTGATAATTTTTTATACATCTAATATGTAAAAGCTAAAAGCACAATGTTTTCATCTGCATTGGCACATTTTTGCAGCTGAATTTTATATTTGATTTTTTTTTTCATAAAATCACTGATGAATGAAATTTGGAAATAGATAGTAAAATGAATTGTGATTATATTTATTTTGAATTATAATTGTGTTCTTGATGAACAATGGCAATAACTCCAAAAAATTATTTCCAAATTTTTAAATTAGTATCTAAGTATTAAGTAAATTATTCACGTCTGGGTGCATTTTGCAAAAAGTTGACGATAAGTTAATGAATTTCAACCATTCTTGTTTCAGTATAACTTTTACCTTAAAATATTGTTTTTTCCCAATCATTATTTTTATTTTTCACATTTACAATTTCTAAATTTTTGACTAGTCTCACGCATGCGAATAAATATACACATAGTAAAAAAACGACAAACTTTTTGACATCAATATAAATTTTCGAAGACATTCATATTTTATATGTAATTTTTTTATAAAAAAGATGTAATATGCGTGTGCTTGAATAACAGTTTGGAATTGAATATTTATTAATTATTAATTATTTTGTTCAACTACTTTATCTTAATAATAAAAAACGGAGAGCAAAGCGAAATTTGTTGGCTTTTGAAACCACACTATCAACAATTTAACAAGTGAAAATAATTTGGAGACTTATGTTATCGAAAAATTAAACATACTTTAGTTTCATTAATTATCGTATAAAATAAGTCTCTATTTATTAAAGATCTCCAAAATCTTGTAAAATTTTATACTAATTAATTAAAATTTTTATCATATTTATTTTGATCATTTGCTACCTGAAGTTGAAGATCCTTATTAACAACTTAAATATATATAAATTTGTATTTATTTATATATATTTAAAAAATTAAATTTTTTAATTATATCAACGTTTATATACCTATATATTATGTTCATAATACTTTTCCAAATTCTGTACACGCATTAATATAATTCGATACGTATAATAATTAGTTGGTGTTCAGTAATTATAATATGATACATGTATAAATTTTAAAAATATAAAAATTTAACTGAGACTGACACTGTGGAGTCCAAGTCGGATAAAACAAGAATATGTTGCGGGTCTATACTCGTATAAATTAAAAAAAAACTTTGTCACAAAAAACCTAACCTCTAAAAGGTCAACGTATCAACTTGCGGCAAACTTCACATATGTTCAATCATGGTAGCTACAGAAAGTTGCACTCATGATGAAATTGTTTTTTAAAATCTATGCTATTTGGAGGTTAGGTTTTAGAAGTGGATTTATAGCAAAACAATTGGTGGCACAGTTGTTTTACACATAAATCCTAACTTCCAAATGGCAAAAACGTCAAAATATTAACTTTCGTCTAACTTCACGTGTTGCCAAAGTGTCGACAGAAAGTTTGAACTTATGATAAAATTGTTATTCGACATGTTTGCCTTTTGGAGGTTGTGTCTTAAAAATAGATTGGTAGTAGAGTTGTCATAAATCCTAACCTCCAAATGGCAAAAACGTCAAAATATTAACTTTCTCCTAACTCCACTTAAAGTAATGACATATAGTAGCACTTATGCAATGTCTTTGCTGTTGTACATATAAAACCTAACCTCCAAATGACACAATTAATTATCAACAGACTTTACGTGTGTGTTATCAAAGTAACGACAGAAAGTTGAATTTTTAATAAAATTGGTAATTGATATTTGTGCCTTTTGGAGGTTAGGCTTTATGTGTAAAACACCCGATTTTACACCATTCTAACTTTTTTCTTGACTAGCAACTCATACGATTACAGACTCGTAATATGCGCTCCAATAAAACTCATTAACAAAAAATTTAACTGATAAAATATTTATTATAAAAATACAAAACAAATTTCATAAAATATACATTACAATTTGTGACCAAAAAAATTAATAATTCCCTGTTGCATCAATATTGCCTTACAAAAAATTTCCACGAATGAAAATTTATATTATATTCTATTTAAACACTTATTAACTATTATTTTTAGTTCAAGCTAATGTAACGGTACGTATAATTTATAAATTGTTATTATTTCTATTTAACGATTTGTAAGATTTGTTTTTCTACAATTTTTATTTGTATTTTTTTCGTACTCTGCCTCATATTGGCTCAAAATTAACGGTAATAATAATCACACACATATATATATATATATATATATATATATATATATATCTTTGAAATGTTAATTTGCAGCCAAATAGTAAAAATAAAAAGTAATAAATAATTAACTATTTATTGGATACGTTTCGACACTGTATGTGTGTCATCATTCAGCGCGTTAAATAAATTCTAAAAAATATTTTACAAATTTAAAAAAAATACAAAATTATTAGATAAAAATATCTACACAATACAGTCAAATAAAATAATAAATTTGAAAATATTCTGTATTTTTTTAGAGCATTTTCAAAAAATTACAGACCTCTTAATACGTATCGATAATTTTATTATATTATATCTTCTAGTAACCTTGTAATTTTTTTTAAAACTTTGTAAAACATTTTTTATAATTTTTTTATCTCCTGAATGATGACACACATACAGTGTCAAAACGTATATAATATATGGTTTATTATTTACAGGGCTTTTATTTGGACAATTTGGCTGCAAATAAATATTTCAAAAATAAATTTATATATGTCAGTTTTTTGAAATTTGATTTTAACATTTGAAAAAATTAGCAGTCAAATCGTAGAAATAAAAAAAGTATGAAAACCATTCTTTATTAAATGAACGTTTCGGTACCTGACGTGTGTCATCATTCAGCAGTCAACCAATACAAAAATATATCACGTATGGATTTAAAATGTTCAGTTGTATCAATTTTTTCATTTTAATAACAATGGGTTTTAGTGTTTTTGTTTTACAAAAAAACATGTGTCCTGGTTGATTGCTGAATGATGACACACATCAAGTATCGAAACGTTCAATTAATAAATAATATTATTTTTTCATTTAGACGAATTTGCTGCTAGTAGTTTCAAATATATATATATATATATATATATATATATATATATATATATATACATATCGAATTTTAATATGTTCTAATTATTTTGGGGCCTAAACACTTTCTCGTGTGATACTTTTAATTACTTTGTAAGTACTTAATGCCTACTAAATATTACTTTTTACACTTAATGATGAAAAAAATTTATTAATTGTTATAACGCTCCAACTTCAAATATGATTCTAAAATTAAAATTAAAATTAAATATAAAATATTAATTATGATAATGTTTCATTCACTTTGATTATTATCAACTAACGACTTATAAGTTAAGGGATGAATCTCTTCATATGTTATGGAATAATTTTGATTTGCTTTTAAATTTTTTGTTCTCGGACATAGAACGCTATATTACGTGGCCGCAGTTGTCTGTCCTGGTTGGAAATAATGTAAACCGTTGATCTAAAATATAATTATCACAGAATTTAGCAATTTCTTATAAACTAAATGTTTTTGGTATTTTTAAAATTATTTTTTATCTTACCGTCATATCGTATTCGGTGATATAAGCAGGAATTTCCAACTGATCTGGTGTCATCACAGAATATAAATGTTCTACTCCTGGTAAAGAATGTACTTTTTGTTTGATTGCTGGAGCCATGAAAGTTGTGAACCACCATGTCATCATCTAAATATATAAAATAATTTTAACTTCGTATAAATTTTTCAGATAATTATAGAAATTTGATTTGCTATGAATTGTATTTTCAAAAATTTTCTACAATTTTTTTCCCAAAATCAGGGACGAAATTCTGTAGATATTGCTCCTACTTCTTTCAACAATTATCAGGATCAAGGATAAATTAGGATAATGAATTAGTTTGTCAATTTCTTATGCCAAACTATGATCAGGTTATTCTTTAGAAAGAAACTTATTTTCATATATTTATGGATCACCAAAATGCTTTACAAATACTTAATATGTAATTTTTATATAAGATTAAGGTATTAATTTTACATAATTTCATTTTAAAAGAGTTAAAGTAGAAAAATTTAAATATATTGTGCGTGATTGATGATTATTTATTTAATTTGATCAACCCAATTGAAACTTATAATGGTTAAAAATTTTGATTAAAGATCCTTTATAATTTACCTTCGTCCAGATCGTAGGATGAATGATATAGAAGGCTTTCAAATTCTTCTTATATCTGAAAAGAAAATAATAAAATTAATAAAAATTATTTAGTATATCTAACAATACGTCAAAATAATATTTTTCTGGGAAAAATATAACCTAGTTCATTTTGTAAAATAATTATTTGATTTAATCATAATACAATAATTTTCTACATCAAATTATCAAATTTGAAAAAAAATTCTTCATGCTATTATAAGTTCGGCTAAATTGTAGAGAATCCAAAATATTTATAAGAAACACATTTAAAGCTTGTATAATTCACAAGCAATAAGCAAATAATTCCTAAAAATCTTCTGAATTTCTATGAAAAATTATGATTGTTTATTAAAATATATAAAATAACATAAAAATCATTTATATCTTGAAACTTTCCTTAGGGTAAAGTTAAATAGTCATCTCAAAAAAATCGAAAATGAAAATGTTTGCATACCTAGAAATAGGAAAAATATATGTATGTGTTTTTCAACCGATGATCATTATCATGATCAACCGATTAGAATGATTCAAAAAACATTTGATTCTTATTAATGGAGAGACATTCTGATAAATTTTTTGCAAAGGCTGGTTCAACAGATTAGAAAATACGAAACAAAATATTTTTGAATGGTTTTTGAATTATTCAAATCGGTTGATCGGTGTTCCCGAAATCGTCGTCGAAAATTTGTATTTGCACACACACACACACATACATCAAATTTTTCTAAGGTATGCCAAAATGTTCAGAAACCTTTGAAACGTACAGATATATAAAAATTTTCATTTTAGATATTTTTGCGATTTCTATAACTTACCCTACGAAAAGTTAAAAAATCTCAATTTAGTTTTTGAGAGAGCGGAGTGTCCGATTTGAGTAATTCAAAAAACATTTTACTTGTATTGACGTAGTGGAGAACTGATTAAATTTTGGAGAAGGCAAGTCCGGCCGTATCGGAAATCCACAAAAAAGTAAGAAAGTGCCCTTTGGCGGTCAAAAATGATCATTGGACATATGCACACTTAATTATCAGATCTTATAGCAATTTTAATAATTAGTGTAAATTTTATTTTTATTAGGCTAAGATTTGAAATATTTGAAGTCCACTTATATAATTCAAACTAATGTTTTTGTTCATTTTAACAGTAAGGAAGAAGCGACTTGAATGGGTTTCAAAGATTTCATGAAAAATTCGACGTTTTTCAAAAATTTGAAAGAAAAACTTATTATTTCAAAATTTTCATTTCTTCACCAAAGTTTTAAATAAATTCAAAAATGTTTGAAGAAAGTCAAAATTTTCTAAAAATCTAAAAAAAAATCATTTTTTTAAGACAAAAAAATCCTGCACTAAATCCCAGCACTAGTTCCTTCATAAATTATAATACAATCTATCATAAAACAAATTTCCATTTCCATACACCACTAGTTCCTATCTATTCGTTTACTCACTTGTATGGCAATATGCTGTAAACCTCCCTCAGCCAGGCGAACGAAGGGTAGTTGTTGTTTGACGTCAGAGTATGGAAGTAGGCGATCACGTAATCTCCTTTTACGATCGGATCCAATAGAGCGATCAGATATAAAAGAGCCTGAAAATGTAATTGACCCATATAATTCAACATCAATTATTATAAAACTAAAGTAACCATCAAAGCTATGATAAAATTATTGACCATCTCTCATACCAGACAATGAGTTGACTCAGAAAAATTATATATACGAGTATATACTAGCAACACCGACGAACTTTTCGCCACCAGATGGTTTCGTGAGAAAGATGAAGAAATTTTTTGTTTGTTTTATATTTGAAAAAGGAAAATTTGATTTAACTACACAAAAGTAATAAATTTATTTCGATTACAAAAATGAAGTGTTTTTTAGTTGAACTTCTCTAAGTAAATGAAAGTGAATCCGCAAGTTATCCGTTTCATTGAAGTGCTCTATGGTAAACCACATTTTTTGTTTTTTGGTCTGACGTTAACACAAACAAAGCGGATGGTTTTCCAACTCGTGAGCAGGCAACGTATAACTGCCCATGTGAAAAACAATGATTTTCTAAATAATCTATTTGAAATTTATCCCGCAAACACTAAGCGATTTGCCTTGCGACTTGTTATTGCGAACGCAAGGCGAACTGGAAATTGCAATCGTTTGAAGTCAAACGAAAGACCAGTCGGAATCATTGGTATGTCACCAAATCGCCAGCAATTTTTGATTGAATGGTGAAATTCAGTACGTGTACATCATTATTCTTTGCGGCAAGAATTGCTCGTTGACTTAACCAAGCATAATTCTGATAATTCTCACTAATGTCATTTTTCGTATTTTTAATTACGGTGCGTAAAGTTCCAGCAATTTCCATTGAAGCACGATGCCATAAAGCACTAATTTTCTTAGCTATAAACCTTGCGGAGCCCGAGACCTTTCCAACGAATGCAAAATTGTCGAAATCGGTTCGTGCGTTCTGGAGTTATATCGTCAGGAAGGAAAACCAGACTTATTTTTATATATATTTTATTAGTAGATTATATTATACTGTGGAATTTTATTACATGAAAAGAAACATACACAACTAGTTAATTTAGATGAATTTTTCTCACCTTGTCCAAATTTAAATTATTGACAGGGAACCATTTTCCGCAGAAGACGACGACGGGCCTGCCCAATCTGTCGACTCCACTCTGGTATAAACATCCGATGCCAGAAACTTCGGTCAAATCTTCAGTTTTGGCTCGTCTCAGCAAACGTTCATATCTGGAAAAAAGAAATAAAGATTATTACAAAAAACAATTTGCTTAGATTTACTTTTTTAATACTCTATGGGTACGGTTGTGCCAGAGTACGTTGGTGACAGTCGTCTAACAGCTGAACTGTACTAATTTTGTCATAGACATTACAGTCCGCGAATGTCGTCGGCAATGTTCGCTCAGACATGTGACGTCACATGACACGTGACATCTATGATTAAGCACTTATTTTGCGCTCGACTAGCAGTCCATGTAATATAAGGTCTATATATAAGGTCGAAAAGAGGGAAATATGAAGTATTTTTGTTCGAACAAGTTTACATTATTACATTGAAACATGACTTGTAAATTGTATTGCTTTTGAAGAGACAAAAGTAAGATTTTTTGCTCTTCTTTTAATAATATAACTGTTACTTGGTAGATCACTTTATTTGCTTATGAGGTAAGTTGAACATTTGTAGTCAATTACCAGCAATTAGTTTTGTTTTAAGTGACATGTATTTTTTGTCCCTTCTGGTTGAATTTCAAACATAAAGACAACAAAATCAAGACAAAATCGGAAAAACAAAGAAAAGGGGAAATTTAAGACAAAAAACATTATGACTATTATCCAAACAAAATGTGTCCTTTACGATTTCACTAAAAAGTTTTTTCTGGTGCAATATAGCACAAAGTTGGCGTTTCCAATCAGCTTTCCATTTAAGCAATAACCATAATATTACATGAAAGTACATGTTATTATTATAATTTAATTAAAGAAAAGTGTACTGTGAATCTGCCGGGTTAATTAACAGAGTGTAACGAGAAAAGATCGTTGAACCCAGAATTGTTTGGAAAACAAAACTTTTGTGTAAAATTAATTTTATTCAATATTACGAAATATTAAGAGATAAAGTCCAAAAAATCTAATTCGACTTGGAGAAAATATATTGTGAGAATAATCAATTTTAGCACAACAAATAACACACATCAAATAAACAACTAACTGACTATGTTCAGTTAAACTCCCAGCTAATTCAACATTGTAGAAAAGTGTTTTTTGCCGTTTTTTTTAAAAATTGGTCACATGGTCCTTTTTGGTAAAGCAAAGGTTTGGATGGTACTTTTTACCCCACCCACATGCTAGCTTTTATAGAGATTTCATAAGAAAAATGATTGAATTTAACTTAAAAATAACAATACGTCTTATAGAACATTTAAATATCGTAGACATAAAATTTTTATTGAGGTCTCGTAAACTAAACAACAGTGCGCAACCAATAAATAACAACGAAGAAAAATGCTTTTGTTGTGAATTTTCATAGATTTCCGATTTATCTCCTGAATCAAAGTGATGGCTGGTTATACAGAGTTTGCCCTCTACTTTAAAATAATATTGTTAAAAAAAAGTCCTAACTTCAATTGTGTTTGAGATATCAGTTGTAGACCTTTTTACCCACTCTATCTAATACAAAAAAAAATTCTTGAATTGTAATTATAATGGTTCGTTTGTGTAATTGAACAGGAAAACGTGTTCTTATTTAGTTAGATAAATTGTTTAAAAATACTCTGAATTCTTGTGACAATCACATATGTGATAATTAGTTCTAATTATAAGTTTGCTTCAGTGTTACATCATAAGTTTTAGTAATTATTCTGAAATGTGATATTTTTAAATTGAAACTTTTCAGTAAAACAATTTTTCTTCTTAGAACTTTCTTACAAAACTTTTTGTAAAGTACTCAATTTATTTTGGCAAAAAATAAACCAAATATCACTTCCTGTAGAAATAAAATATACTCATATTATAATTGTTGATAATAATGACTTTTTTGGGTTGTATTTTTTTCCATAAAGAACCTATAAAATATACCTTAGTTTTTAAACAAAAAACACAATACCTATCAAAATGCAAAACTAAGTAGGAAAACTGCATTTGGAACATTCTTATCATCTTGATGAAATAAAATTGAGGTTTGTCACTCTCAAAATTTAAATAACAAAATATTATAAAGAAATTGAAAATGAAAAATTGAAGAAATATTTAAAGGTATTAGAGCTACTTATGAAAGTAGAATAAAATAGTTAATATGACATGTATATATAAAAATTGTTTCATAATATCTTATACCAGTCACCCCTGTCTGACTGAAATACGAAAATACCATGTCAATAAAAAAAAAATAGGTTTGTCACTGTCAAAATGTGAATTGATCACCTCTTAGATAAAACTATCACTATATGTTATTTAATTTAAAAAATTATTATGTAACAAAAAATAAAATTAGACCTTTACCTTTCTTCAGGAGTTTCAACAATTTCAGGCGGAGGCAAAGCGTCTCCAATTTCTATACTCTCCTCGCCCATAGTCATGATTTGAGTATCAATTTTGAATTAATTTACTCAAAATTCACTTTAAACTTTTAAAATCTCACAAAATGTCACTTATAAAGTTCTAAGTTTTTGTTTCAATAATTAATACTTTTCTGCAATTTCAAATTAAATTTATATAACACTCATAGTAAAATATTTATAGACGATTTTTTCTTCACATTCATTCAAGCATATCATTCTTCAGAGATAAGATTTTTATGACATTGTATTAACTTTTCAGTATAATTTAATTTACCAATAAATACATTTACGCTAATTGTTATTTGCATTTTTATTACGAAACCAAAATAAATATTTAATTAGAGTAATATTAAATACAGAAATAGTATGTGTTAACATTCAATGTTTGTTTTTTGTCAACAAACTATAAATTTAATTTAGACCATTGATATTTGAAATTAATTTAATTTGAATGATAATTGTAATTAAAGTTATTTATTCAACATATTTTTTACTATTTTTTAACAAAATTTAAAAGTTGCATATATGCAGAATATATTATACATATCTAGAGAATAGAATAAATAGGTAATTTTAATTTTAATCAATAACAATGTTACTATTATTATTATTATTATTTATTAAGGGTCATTTCAAAAACCTTTTCCCAAGAAAGCATAGCTAAAGTTAAAGCAATCTTCCAAAAATATTATTTACAGGGTGTCTCCGAACTCAACGGCAAAAAATAAAAAAAAACAATTTTCCTGTGCAGTTTGAAAACTATGTTAAAGCGATCTCCCAAAAATATTATTTACAAAGTGTCCCAGAACTCAACGGCAAGAATAGAAAAAATAATTTTCCTGTGCAGTTTGAAAACTATGTTAAAGCGATCTCCCAAAAATATCATTTACAGGGTGTCCCAGAACTCAATGGCAAAAATAGAAAAAATAATTTTTCTGTGCAGTTTGAAAACTGTGTTAAAACGATATCCCAAAAATATTGTTTACAAGGTATCCCAGAATTCAACGACATAAAAACAGAAAATAATTTTTCTGTGCAGTTTGAAAACTATGAGCTTTTTAAAAAAATACCTTATAATTATCATTGTATGTATGCCTAGTATATATGTGTGTATGTTTGGTTCAATTTTTGCACACGATTTAGGGCGCACGAATCACACCCGATTTAGAATTAGTGAAAAGTTGAAGCAAGCTCCCCATAATATTATTACATGGTGTCCCAGAACTCAACGGCAAAAAATAGAATTTGTTTTATAAAAACTATGAGCTTTTGAATGAAACCTAGAGCTTCAGGTCAAAACTTAAGTGTATTAATTTTCCGGCTACTGTGGTAGTTTTAAACTTTCCATTTAAATTAACAGTATATAATAATTTTTTTTTAATTTCTAGACCTTTATTTGAATATCTTGGCATAAATTATAATAATTACTTAATAATTATCATTGTATGTGTGTGTGTATGTGTACGTAGTATGTATGAGTATGTATGGATACAATTTTTGTTCACGATCTTAGATGCACGGATCAACCGATTTGAATGATTCAACAATCATTTCACTTGTATTGACGGAATGTAAATTTGATGAAATTTTGGTAAGGCAGGTCTAGCTGTTTAGGAAATACTTAGGAAAAAGTTCTAAATTATGTAAATGTACATGCATCAAACAAGCGATTTTAGTATTTGTATTTAGTTCAGAAAATATAATTGTTACTTAGGGTTCCGTACCAAAATGCACAAAACTCAAAAATCCAAATTTTGGGGAAAAAATAATTTTCAAACATTCTCGATTTTTTTCAAATTTTCGTGATTTTTCAAAATTTCCAAAAATAATTCTTTTCACAAAATTCTTCAAAAATATTAAAATTTTCACAAAATACCTTCGTATTTAAAATTAAAAAAAAAAATCCAAATTCTGAAAAAATCTTCAAAAATGCTGGACACAGTTCATATTTACAACATGCCTTAACTCAGGGTTTCCAACCTTTCTTCCTTGCGCCCCCTTTCGAATGAAAAAAATATTGCGCCCCCCCCC